GGTCTGGTGAAGGACAGAACTGGGAAGTTACTGAGAGAAAGTGGAACTAGGTATTCTGTACAAAGGGGTGCATGTGCTGGTAAGTGGCAGAAGAGTGTAAATCAGACCCAAATATTTCAGGTTTGGGAAAAACAGATATTTGGAAATATGTCTCTAAGAAAGGAATTAGTTCACATTAGCTGCTGTAGTGAAGAAACTCAAAAAATATAAACCACACGATGAAATAATTTATTTCTTGCCCATGTAAGTGTCTAAGCTGGTGCTCCTAGACAGCTGGCTATGACCCTCTGCCCAGTGATTCATGGACACAGGCTCCATGTATCCTGTGACTCTGTGACCCCCACAGGCTAACTGTCAAGGGAAAAGGTGCATGTCTGTGTGATGCAGATACAGATTAGAGGCCCCTCTCCAGGGACAACTTCAACTCTGGAAATGGAGCTATTACTAGGCTATTCTATGACAGTTTCCTATTCAGTCTAAATGGTCACCATGTACCTTTCTTCCCAAACACAGAACACATCAGACCTTTCCCAGGGGATTCAACCCAGGATGAAGGCAATCATTGCCCAAGCTCATGGTTCAGGCTCTCTAGATGACAACATGTCTCTTCAGCAATCTGAGTGTCATTTCTGTAGTTTGCTGATTTAAAAAAAAAAAAAAACTAAACTAAAAGACAAGACAAAATTGGCTAACTGCATATGGATTACACACCATAATAAATAGAGATTTACCCTAGGGATGCAAGGATGGGTTAATATACAAATTTTTTATGTATTATAAAATACTATTTCTGATATTATTGTTGTTTATCTATTAAACAATGACTATAAATCTTATTATTTTGATACAGCATAAGTAAAGTTAAAATGCATGTTAAATATCAGCATTTGCACAGAAAGCATTTGATAAAACTCAGCACCTGTTTCTGATAAAATCTTTAAACAAGATAGAATAGAAGGACTCAACAAAGGGAATATATGTCATAAATAAATGGCCAGTATAATACTTAATGGTGAAAACTAAAAGAAATACAAAGTGAGACTATTACCTTCAATGAAATATAATGACTGCCAGAAACAACCTGTCCACTGGAGAGCTCTGTCTAGATGCCAGGGCCAATATCCAATCCCAGAGCACCTGGGCGACTGTGTATAAGTCTCCTGTCCTCATCACGTGAGCCCCTGCCCTCCACCCACCCCCCGAAAACTCAGGATCTGCCCCATACTTTAGCTCAGGATACGTAGCCTCACTGTACTCATGTCAGTACAGTCTCTGCAATCATGTAATCAAATTGACCTTTTTCTTTCTCCTGTTTATTTGATTGAATGCCGAAATTATTTTTTATTGAAGTAACAATGGTTTATAAAAGTATATGACTCAGGTGTACACATTATAAATAAATACGTAGATACACTGCTATGTTGTCTGCTAAAAGTCTGTTTTTCATCCTTCATAACACTTGGCCCTTTGCCCACTTTGTCCATCTTCCCCATTATTGAAACACTATTTTGCTCTGAAAAACCGTGTTGCTTTTTGCTTGCACATTTCCTATCTTACACATTGGAGTGAAATCATAGAGTCTTTATGGTCTTCTGACTTACTTCACTGAGTATCATATCCTCTGGCTTGCAAATGGCAGAACTTCATCTTTTTTAATGGTTATGTAATATTCCTATATATGCTACAACTTCTTTATCCAATCTTAAGCCAATAGGAACTTGGGAGTACAACCCAAGATGTATCCTGAGTATAACCTGAAATCAGTTTTCATATGCAGAGATAAGAGAGATACCAAAGTGAGATGCAGGGGACCTCTGTGGTGGTCTGGGGGTTAAGTTTCAGCGCTATCTCAGCTGTGGCCTGAGTTGGATCTCCAGGCAGGGAGCTGACCCACACGGCGCAGTGACCTCTCCTGTCTGGCTCCTTGTTCCCCTCAGCAGTGCATTTCAGTCAATCTATCTGCTCAGTTCCCCACTCTGTCTCTGGTAAATTCTCTCATGCCCTCTCACCCCAACACCTGAACTTTACTCAGTTCTTCTATCTAAATGAATGTCCTTAAAAAAAAGCCATTAAAAATTAAGAGAAAATGAAAAAACAGGCTACTCTGATTGGCAGATAGCACTTTTAATGAACAAGGGGAGGTACTCACGAGGCATTGTTTGGTGTCCACAGATGGGTAGTTTTCAGCAGCAAACACTAGCAAAACAATGTTTTTATAGAGGCTTTAGTTCTGTTCAGTCACATATGCAACCCAGATAGTTTCAATAACATATGAACCATCCTCCTGGGCTGTATTCCTGGTCAGGAATATATGTGTATACCTGAATCATATACTTTTATAAACCATTGTTACTACAATAAAAATAATTCTGGCATCAATCAAGTAAACAGAAGAAAAAGGTCAATTCAATTACATTATTGTACTTCTTCGTAAGTGGCAACAAGAAACCTCCAATATCCCAGGGACAAGGATTTCTGCAGGTTAACAGGGGAGGGGGTGAGATGCCTGAGGTTGCTGGGATACATACTCTGATTGCCTGCTCAGTAGCTTTGATTGATTGCTGAAAATACACTGCAGCAGGCCTGGGAGTGCTATCTCTGAATCAGTGTTCTGAATTCCTTGTCTAAATGCCCAGCGAGATGACTGGATCCTAGGGAATTTGTACCTTCAACTTTTGAGGACTCTCCAGGCTATTTTCCATAATTGCTACACAAATTCCCTCTTCCACCAAGTGTGTTTGAGAGTTTCCTTCTTTGTACACTGAGCCAAAGTTAGTTGCTTTTTAATGCTTCTGATAGTAGCCATTCTCACAAGTGTCACATGATTTCCCACTGTTATTTTGCCTTACACTTTGCTAAGAGGAGTCTGTTAAACTTAAACATCCTTTCCTGTGTCTGTTGCAGCAATCTCTACTCAGACCCTCTACCCGGAAGTTAGCCAGCTGCTTGTTTTCTTGCTAGTGCATGCATTCTAAAGGATTTTGAATATTAACGCCTGTGGCCTGTGGAACGTGTGATTTGCAAGTATATCCTCCCATGCAGTAGGTTGCCTTTTCATTTGATCAATGTTATTTGGATTTGCTCTTTCATTGGAAGCTTTTTAATTCTATATGGTCTAGTTGTTTACTTTCCCTTCCCAAAGACAGGACAATAGGAAGGTTGCATATGTGAGTAATGGTGTGAGAGAGTGGTCTTGTTCCATTCTTTTGCTTGTGACGATCAGTTCCCCCACCCCACCATTTGTTGAGAAGACTTCCTTTCTCTGATGTGTCCTCTTGCTCTTTTGCAATAGGTTAACTGTCATTACATGTGTAAGTGTATTTCTGGGCTCTCAGACTTACTCCACTGGCCTGTGCAACCGTGTGCTTGTTGCAGTACCATCCTGTCTTGAAGGGTGATGATCTCACCATGTTTCCTTTTTGCCGCTTTTTGTGTCTTTTTTGGTTCCATTTGACTTTCAGTAATGTTGTTTCTATGTCTTTGAGGAATGCTATTGAAACTTTGATAAAGAATGCATTGAAACTGCATATTGCTTTGGGGAAGATTTTGTAACATTTTGGACAATACTAATTCTCCCATTCCATGAACAGGGAATATTTTTCCATTTCCTTGTGACTTCTGCTTCTTTTAACCATTTCTTATATCAATAGTTTGTATTGGACCTTCAATAGCTGTGTTAAGTTTACTTCTAGGCATTTAGTCCTTTCTGATGCCCTTGTAAATGGCATTGTTTTTTGTTTTCATACTCTAGATAATTGTTTGCATATAGACAAGCAAGTAATTTTTGCACATTGATTGCAAAGTGACTGATTTCAAAGCATTTTTCAGTGGATTCTTAAGCATCTTCTATATTTATTATCAGTACATATAATGAGTGATTTACTTCTCCCATCTTTGGGTTGCTTTTATATCCTTTCGTACCTAATTTCTCTAGCCAGGACTTTGAATACTATGGTGAGTACAGTGGACAAAGTGTACATTCTTTTCCTTGTGCTTTATCTGGTACCAAAACTTAATGGAAATGTTTTTAGTATTTTACCATTGAAAAAGTTGTTTGCTTTGTGTTTACTATTGATGAATAGCAAAACTTTGTTATGTTCAGGCATGTTATATCTATTATATGCTGATAATGTTGAATCCCACCATCTGCTTTCTTGACATTGGTATGATCATGTGATTTTTCTTTTACATTTTATAGATGTGGTGAATTCCTTTGATTAATTTTCAGATGTTAACCATAAAAAATGTTTGGAAATATTCCTTTACTTCTCAAAATTTTGGGAGATTTTGAGAAAGGTGTGTATCACCTCAACTTCAAAGTTTTGTAGGGCTCATAAGTGAAATCATCTGCTATGATCTTTTGTATTTTCAGACACTTATGATTATTTTTCAATTATCTTTTTTGTAATTGGTCTGTTTGGGCTTTCTATTTCTTCATGATTCAGTCTCCGATGGTTCTCTATTATTTCTAAGAATTCACCCATCTCTTGTAGGCTATCCAAATTACTAGCATAATAAGGAACATTGCTGCCTTCCAAATGACTACTTTACAAATGTAAAGTGAGTTTACAATAAACATCTCAGAAATCCAGAGCCTCATAATCTCCTTTGATGCTCTGAATTTCTGAGATGTTTATTGTAACCTCTCTTTCATTTGTGACTCTATTTTTACTTTATGTCTTTGTTTCTTTGTGAGCTTCGTTAGAGATTTGTTTGTTTCTCAAAAATGAGACTATGCTTTCCATTATCTATAGAGGGTGTAGGGCAGCAGCCCCTCAAGTCAGTTTGGGCATATGTGTGTGCATGAGGGTGAGGACAGGTGGGTGCAGGGACAAGCTGAATATAGAAGAAACCCTGTTTTGTGGTCTCTGGTGATGGCCAGTCAGGTTTAGTTGGAGGCGGCTCAACACTATTTACCAACAGGTGAGGGTGAAACACTTAGGATCTGGCATCATGTCAGAAAAGCCATGGCACGCCTTTATGTTGCACAGCTCACTTTTATTAATTCCATCTGTGAAAGCTTTTCTTGGATGTAACACTATGATTTTTCAAGTTCCCTTCTTATATTTTCGAGCGACTCAGTAAAGGTGCGGGTATTGGAGTAGTTTTGTTTGAGCTTATCACATCTCTTTAAATGATACAAACCTTCTTCTATTAGTTCCACTAACTTCTGTTTTTCATTTGGAGACATATTCTTATTTTCTTGTGTTATTTTGAGAATTTTTTGTCTATAGCAGCTACCAATATAAAAGTACAGAAGGAAATTTTCAGGCATGGATGTTGAAGCCTGTTTCAACAGTGAAATGGCTTTGTCCAGGTCACCTTTGCTTCGATAAAACTTTGCTGCTGGGACAATCACATCAGTTGCATGTGGGGCTTTCTCCAAGGCCTCTTCCACCAACCTCTCTCCTTCATCTCCTTTATTCATCCTTTGGAGTTTCAGAGCCAGGAGGACTTTAACATACTGGTTTTTAGAATCCAGCTGAATGGCTTTCTTCAGAAGATCAATGAGATTCTCACGTGGCAGACTCTCGTCCAGACGGTATACGGCAATGGCAAGTCCAGTGGTGAATTCTGGGTTGTCTGGTTTCCTTTCCAGAGCCTTCTGAAAACACACCATGGCCCTTTCATTTTGTTCTCCACACTTTAACAGTGCCCAACCTTCCTCGTTATACAGCTCAGGACACTCAATACTGTCAGGGCTTGAAAACTTTTCACAGACTTGTTTCACCTTGTCTACATATGTCTGAGCTTCTGAGAGTCTTCCCATGTGATAGTAGACCCAGGCGTAGTTTCCCAAGGTGACCAGACTTCTGAGTTCTGCTTGATGAGCATCATGGGCTTCCTGGGTAAATGCTTCAGCTTGCTGTAGGCATTCCAGGGCTCCCTCATTTTGGCCCCTGCAGGATTTTATGTAGGCCAACAGGTTGCACATTGTGGCTTTGAACTCAGTCTTTAAATTTTTAATCTGTTCATGCACTGCATTTTCTAGGTCATCTGAGATTCTGTTTTCATCGAGTAGTAAATTCCAAGTGAAATGGCATTTCAGCTGTGAGAGATCTTTCTCCAGAGAACTGTTGTTGGACTCACTGTGGAGAAAAAAACTTGGTTACTGTGATGTGCATTTGGCTAGCATTGCAGCAAGTTGCAATTACAGGTTAATTGTGAATGTCAAACTGACTTGGCCTTGGAATATCTAATATCTAGCTAAACATTTGTTCTGGGCTGGGCTTAGTGTTGGAGTGTAGGCAGATGGGATTAGCTGGGATTCCAAAGACTGAATAAGCAGCCCCCTTTCACTGAGGTGGATGGGCTTATTCCACTCCAACCCCCTCCCCCCACCCCCTGCCCCTGCCTGTTGAAGGCCTGAGTAGAACAGAGGGCAGAGGAAGCGTGAGTTTGCTTCTCTGCCTGACTGCTGGAGCTGGGCCATGGGTCTGTTCCTCCTGAGATCTGGTTTCAACCTTTTGGTTCTCGAATCTTCAGACTCAGACTGGCCCCAAATCTTGCCTTTCTGGGGTCCTAGGTTGTCTTTATATTTCCTTTGGACAGCCCTGACTACTCTACACGTTTAAGTTTAACTGGATAGAAATGAGGTCCTTTTCCCCTTGACCTCCCCAGACCCTGCATCAGCCTTTAAGAATCCTCCCCCCAGCCCCCCCTGGGGGCACAGCAGGTGAAAGCGCAGCACTAAGAAGCTAAAGCCCCTTCTGCATGAGTTCCATCCCCGCCTGCCCTGGAGGTGACAACATGGCGTGGCAGACCTCTCCTGGCCCACCCACTGTTCCCCTCAGTAATGTACTTTATCGATCTGCCTGTTTTCTCCCCTCTGTCTCTGGTGAATCCTCTCACCATCCCTGCACCTCTGGTTTGTACCCCAATTCTGTATGCACAAATAAATAAATCTTAAAAAAAAAAGAAATGAGGTCCTTTTCTTTTCTTTGATTCCTTAATTCATCTTTCTAATTGGTTGTTTCAGAATACACAGAGCAGCAGGATGTGCTGTGTGCATGGAAATGCAGGAGGTGAGGTGGGGTGGACTGGAGGACAGAGGCTGACACAGAGATGTGGTCTTTCTTCTCCTGCACAATCACTGAGTCAGTTGTCAGTTCTCAGTCATGCAGGTAAGGTTCATGGAGGCAACTGACAGCCCTTTGGAAGACCATTTCTTTATGGCACACTCTTTTCAGGGATATTAACTAAGATCAAGTTAATCATATTCTCTCTGCCCCCAGAAGTCAGAGCCTGGTTAGAAGGAGCCATAGAAACGGGAAAGCCCACACTTGTTTGTCATTTGGAATTGAGTCCTGACATGGGGCAACAAGAAACAGCTACATGCAGGAGATTTGCCTGAAAATGCTTTCACCTGGTGTATTAATCATTTGTAAGTTTACTGCGATAATCAAAACATAAAACTTTAAGGGAAATTATCACTAGCATTCAATGGCTACACAACACACTTGTTTTGTATTTTGTGTATTAATGTGCTCTCCAGATAGGAGCTCTTAAACGTACAAAGCTAATGTTCAGTGACTTGAAGCAAGAACTAGATATTAATAAAGTATTTTAGGAGACTTCGCTTCTATAAATTCAGCAATGTATAGATCACCCCTCCAGAAAGCCCAGTAGGAACCACTGGACTTAAGAGTGCACCAGAACAGATGGACTCAAGCGACATTTTCAGATGCTCCATCTAACAGCAGCACGGTACACATTCTTCTTGAAGACACATGGGATACTCTCCAGGCAGGTTCACATGTTAGGTCACAAAGCGAAGACTGAATTCCCCTCAGGTATGAGCTTGTCTAACCACTGGAGTATGAGAGTGGAAATCATATCTAAGAGGAAAACTTTTCCTTTCTTGACACACTGATGGAAGAACTAGCCAGTCTGTATGATTTTAAAATGAAGTTTACAAATTGTCCCTCACACGCAATACAATGAACCCAGTTTTAGGGTAAAGATTACTGAGTTTTGACACATGGATAATAATTAAGTATCACAGACAGGGCCACCTTATCAACCACCTGTATCACCCCTAAAGTTTCACAGGTGCCTTCCTAGTCATTCCCAAAAATACACCCGACCATCTGCAGGCAAACAATCCCACCTTCAGAAACTAGAGTTCCCACTAGTATTTGAAAATAGATCTAATCCTGACTGAAGGTCAGTATTTCCAGATGCTTACTTCCTCTCATGGCAGCAAGCACATCTAAGCTTTGTTTTAAAATGGAAAGATGCCCATGTATAATAATTGTTTCTTCTGACTCCGCCCTCGAAGTGATTAGATATTTCAAGGCTAAATTACACTCACTGTAGGTATGGTTTGCATTCCCAATTCCCTCTTTACTAATATATATTGAAAACAAATCAGTGCTGTGATAATTATGAGCAAAAGCCTGACTTCCCTACTTACACTTAGAGAACAACTGCTACAAAGCCCATGAAGGAAAATTTCCTTGGGTGTAACAAGAACCATCCACTTTGTGCCACACCTACCAAACCTCTTTAAATTTGACCCTATCTCTGCTACCTGAGTCCACAAATCAGGTGGACTCATTGAGGAGATTTACTTTATACTGAAAGGCAGCCACAGGACTTGCCTGTACCCCAGAATCTCAGCTTGTCAGATATATTCATAATCACGGGTAATAAGCATTTCTGTCTCACCCACCTCATGATGGCAGTCTGGTTCTGGGCTGTTTTGATAGCTGTGTCCAAGCAGGTGGGTCTTCGAATCGCCCTATTGTGCCTTAAGTTCCTGTTGAAGCAGCTTTATAGAGATGGTTTGTGAGTTGTGCAATAGATGACTCTATCCTTCCTGCCCATGGGTGGTGGGTGGTTGCTTACAGGATAGGGGAGGAGAAATGAAACTGAATTATAGTCTGTTTTCTACAAGATTTAACAAAGAAAGTTAAGTCATCTGTGATAATTCGGTGCACATAAATTATTTAAGTTATGGAAATTACCCTAGTTTGTTATTCACCTGGTCAGTACGGGAGATATGTTGTCCTGTCCTTGGAGATGTGCGACTTGTGGAGAATTACAAGCCACTGCAAGTAAATATGATGCTGTTTGTCTTAACTGGAGAGTGAGATTTCATAGAGAGTAACAGATACACAAACGTGTACATTTAAATGATTGGCTTTATAATTTCTATATAATTTATTGTCTCTAATTTCTCATGTTACTGTGGAGCGGGTCATATGCTGTACTTCACCTTTTCCCCTCAAGGCATTTGTTGTAGACAGGGTTTATGGACAAGACACAGCAGGCCAGAGGTGTGGTGAGAGGGTTCACCATAGACAGAGTGGGGAGCAGAACAGGCAGATCAATGAAGCACACTGCTGAGGGGAGCATCAAGAGGGTGAGGAGAGGTCTATAATGGCATCTGGGTCAGTTCCCTGGCTGGGGGTAGAACTCATCCTCTGGTGGCTTCTGAGAGCTTCATAGCGCTGTGCTGTAACTCTTTGCACCACTAGGTACAATGGAACATTACCAGTAGAGATGTTGGCTTGTAATGCAATTTACCAAATATTACATTGAATTTTAAAATTTTTTCAATAGAGATTATTTTGTTAAGGTAGTGTAAGGTGGAAGCAGCCAGGGCAAGTCTAGGGTGGGGACTTCGAGTTTGGGACTGTTACTGTTTTCATTGTGGAGCCTCCCTAAGTTCTGGGAACTGCCTGCTTTCCGGGAATCAACTCAGCCTGGATGCCCTACTTATAAGTGTTGCTGATTAATCATCTCAAAAAAAGAAACAGCAAAGCAACTTCCATGGCCTAGAAAAGCTTACCAGTGTCCCCCAGTGGGCGCAACTTCTCCCCCCCACCCCATGAGGGGGTCGGTGAACCTTGCCTGGAGCACAAAAAATTCTTGCCTGTCAGAAACTTTGCCTGGCTCTCCATCTCTTATCTTCAGGAAACTTCCACGTAGCTACTGACTAAATGGATGTATCTTAGTACCATGGGCTCTGTATGTCTCAGTTTGTCCGAATTTGAAACCGGGGTCTATTTATATAGCTGTGACTGTGGGTAAATGGCTTCATGTCTCTGTGCTTTAATTTCTCTTCTGTGAATCGGGAATTAGTTTCTCTTCTGTGAATTTCCCTGTTACCAACCTGTGGTGGTATCCTGAGGATTAAATAGGTTAACATAGGAAAATGTTAGGAAAATGCCTGGCACATAATAACTTGGTTTTTACTGTCACCAATAACTAAAATCATTATGCAAAGAACTCAGAAGGGAAACTTGTCTTATAGTTAAGTAAATAACTTGATTTATGATACCTCAGATTTTATAAATGCCAACTACATAGCAACCAACTTCTCATAAATTCTAGCTCAGACTTCACCATCAATCAAGGGCCTCTGAAAAATCAGATAATAGTGTCAGGGGAGAGAAGTTTGTTCTTCTTTTTCTTCTTCTTTTTAAAAGATTTACTTATTTATGCATATAGAACTTAGGTACAGGCCAGAGGTGCAGGTGCGGCGAGAGGCTTCACCAGAGACAGAGTGGGGAGCAGAACAGGCAGAAGAACACTGCTGAGGGGAGCAGCGGATGGGTCAGCAGAGGTCTCTGCACCATGTGGATCACCTCCGGGGCTAGGGATCGAACTCACACTGATGCAGCTGGGCTAGCTTGCAGTGCTGTGTCCTACCTTATTGCACCATCTGGGAGGCCCAAGTTTTGTTCTTCTAAGAGAGTCTTCAATAAACTAACTTACTTCCCCAATCCTTTAAATTTTACATTGGGAAACCTAAATGTTTTTAAGGGTGTTATCATCAACTAAGATATCAGTCATCCATATTTGGAAAAATAAGCCCTAGTTTAAACAATGCCATGTCTTACACACTTAGAATATAATAAAACATTGACACCAGAATAAAAAAGTCTCTCAGTCTGTACCAGAGCATTGGTAAGTCTACCCATCGGCCTAGATATAACAAGTTGTCTGAAGCTTGGACACATTATATGATGTGGATACCACGCTCATGCCCATCCATTTCGTTTGCTATAGTATAAGGGAAACCAATATTATAAATGCCATGGTAAGTTCCAGTGGCAAAGAGCAGCCTTCCTTTTTGCTGAGGAGTGCAGATACTGGAAGTTTTCCAACTACTTGTTGTTCATTTAGACAAGTAATCAATTTATAGAAACAGAAATGGTTAAACCTGAAACAAATTCTAATGTGTGATTTAAACTCTTAACACTCTGCAGGCATGACAACAGAAGACAGACGCAGACAGAGAGAACGCAGACAGAGAGAACTCTGTTACAAACACATAAGGGAAACTTGATTGTTTCTTTTTCTAGGACTTTGGTTCCTCTGATGTTCTAGGATTGATCAAATAGTTCCTAACATCTCTGCACATTCTTGGCTCTCTGAACACCACAGTATTTAAATTCTGTGTGTGACACAATGGTAGTCAGCACCCACACACCACAATTTGCAGCCATAGTCTGTTAATGATGGAAGAAATATGCTTTCTTTGCCTTATATTTTATCTGAAGAGGGTTATAATATGTACAGATCCAAGGGGAACCAAAATGTCATAGCACTGGGTGACTTTATGGTCAGGGATTTACACAGAGCAAAGATGCAACTATTCTTCAGACACCTGGGATTGCTAAGGCAGGTTATTCAGCCTTGCAGACAGCGTAATGGTGGATTTTTCTGCCTAGTACACAGTGTACGTGAAGCTATGCTTCTTGACAACCTCTACCTGTTTATTAGCTAAGATTATCCCAGCTGAAAACTCTTAGCTTTAGGTCCTATTCAGAGTGAATGTTCCAGTTCTAATCATAGTTCTACTAAGAATTTATAAAAATAACATGTTAAAAGCAATAGAAGAATGCTGAAATAGGAAACTAAGAACACTAAGGGTTTGGTTTTGTTTTTTGCAATTTGCGTTGCCGAAACCAGGAATTGAATGGATTGCTTACGTGCTATTGGCAAAAGTAGTTGTTGGGAGGAAGCACAAAGCAAGCTCATGGTCATTGTCTGTTGTGCGTAGAGGTACTGATTTACTCTTCAGAAATATGTAAGGCCAGTGCCCATGGGGTGACTGCCACAGTAGCAAGGCCTGCACTGTCCTCGCAGTTGGGTTAATGTGACAATGTGTCCTGTGACTACAAAACAGAAATTGGAAAGAGATTCCGAAACTTCCCTAGCAGTGTTTCCATTTTGGGAGACGTGAAACTTTGTGAGCATTTTATTACTCTGGTTGTTGAAATATTTGTGTCTTTGTCCTAGAGGACAGGCCTAAGCCTGTCCTGTGTCAGCCAAGAATACGGTAGAGTCTGTGCTTGCTCTTCCTCAATGAGCAAGTCCCCTGAGGGGACTACAAGTTGTGTAAGGCCTTGTCATCTAGCACCAGGGCATCAGCCTCACCTGAGGGCCATGCAAATTCTGAGGATTCAGCCTAGATGGAGTGAATCAGAACTGTAGGGTGCATCAAGCAATCTCTATGTTAGGAAGCCTTTCAGGCTTTCTAATGCATGCTAACGTCTGTCTACTTATGATATAATGTAGTAAGTGAAAATAGTTTTAATTCCATAAATAAAATTCTACATTTCTTTTCCGTGATTTCTCAAAAATGTTGGTCCTTTTTCATTTGTCTAGAGAATGTTTTGCCATATAGAATAGCTGATGCTTAAGTCAATAGTATTCATAGCAGGTAGAACAATTTTCACATATTCTGATGGATTTTCTTGATCTGTACAAGGTCTACAATTTGGGGCTAATGTTTTCCTTCCTGATTTATCATTCCCTCCTACACATATTGCTAAATAGATGATTGTTTACAATTATCTATCAAAGTTGGTTTAAAATTAAAATTGACTTAAAATTGGCTTCTAAAATTGGATAGAGTTAATTCAATAACTCCCTCTTCTTATTCCTTTTTTAAAGTTAATTCAACATTATTTCTTTTCAGTATCAGCCACTTCAGCTGCATTGGAATGGTCTGTGGGCACCTGAGGGAGGTGTCAGCTCTCTCTAGTGATAAGCAGGAAACAAGATCCTCCAGATTCATTTAACTATTTATTTAAACACATAACTATACACTATAGCATAATCAATAAAAACATAAACACATATTGAATAGCTCCTCTATGTCAGCTACCCTTATATTTTCTTGGATACATTAATTACACCAAGATTCTAGTCTTCAGGGTGGGTTGGGATTTATCAGAAAGTCAAAAACATGGTTGTATGCACTAAATTGTGACCTTGAACCCCATCATATGCTGGTGCCCTAAACACAAAGGGACTGATTTTGGAAAATAGGTCCTTCACAGAGACCATGCAGATGAAGAGGTCACCACGATTGAGACTTCACTCAGTAGAACTGATATCTTTGTAGGAGAAGGGAGATCAGCAGAGTTTGTTTCTGATAAGGCCCTTCCTCCTGACCCTCTGCCCAGTGATTCATTGACACAGACTCCCTGTGTCCTGTGACTCTGTGACCCCCACAGGCATAGCGTTAGGGAGAAGGTGCATGTTCACGTGATACAGATATGATTGGAGGCCCCTCTCCACTGACAACTTCAACTCTGGAAGTGGAGTATTATTTGGGTGGGTCCTATGTTATTTCTTTTCTTTTCTTTTTTTTTTTTAAAGATTATTATTATACAGAACTGGGTTAAAGGCCAGAGGTGCAGGGGCGGCGAGAGGAT